GTCTCGTTGAAATAACAGATAAAGTAATTTATATGTGTAGGGGTTTCATGTGAGCGAGCTGCAGAAGAATAACGGACAGAAGAGATTCGGCAGAGAACCTGAACTCAACGCCATGGAAGTTTGCCTACTTAGACCGTACTCAGAAGTTAGCAAAGCTACTTAACAGTAAGTAGCATCCACAACACGTACTCGGCAATAGAAGACGTCAGTCTCCCCTACCCTTACAAAGTTGGCTTACTCACCGCAGTAACTAGTAATTTAGTGCGTGGATGCACGGTCGAAGGTCAACGCCTTGCATCACTCTGGCCTAATTAACAAGCAAGCGTTAATTTCTTGCTCAATTCATCTAATTTGGGAGGTGGATCTATTAACCAATGGTTTTAAATTGGAGTTTGGATTCAATAAGTAATTGCTGTTGTCGCCACGCTTCTTTCGAGTACCGGGTGTGATGCGAGGTGTCTGCGTCATGGTTCCCCAACGAGATCGAGGACCCCGCGGAAAATGAGGAAAGATGGATAAAGATGGCAGGCAAGAATACCCCTGAAGTGGTTCCGGTCAAGTGGTCGAAGTGGAATAATGTTCTTGCCAAGGTGCTTGAATTCGTTCTTCCGCATCCAGAAGGCAAATTGTTGTACCATGGAAGCGGCCGGTATAAATTCGAACCTTTCTAGTATGGAGGCATGTAAAAAAAATGCTCACACATGACAACAAACAGCTAATACAAAGTTGCCGTTGATGTGACTTCCATATCACCACCAGTGTAGCGGTGTAGCCATGTTGAGGTCAATATCTGAGTACTAACCATATACGACTATAATTAGAAGTTGTTTATACTTCTTGAAGTATTAACTTGCATTGCCTGTAACAGCCTGCAGTTTTCGGCTAATTTGTTCGGCAGGTCTAAGAAGAACATATCCTGGTCTTTATACTTCAAGGTATAATGATGCATGATTCGAACGCTTGAGTCGGTCGATGATGTCCTCTACAGTAGAGGCCCTACTGCATATCGCGTGATAGTGGACCACAATTGCTCGCCGAAAATGTCCACTCATGGTCAATTTAGAGGCTATTTGGGCTCAAATAGTCCACTCTATTAGCATAAAAATCGGCGCTGTTTACTGTTATAAGGGTAGTCCTTTGACGAAGTTGTACTCTCAGTGCATGTGCACTTGTGCACCAGCTTTTATTGCTAACTAACGCCTCCTTAATAGGGCTCTCATAATGCCGACGCTTGCTGTTATTGGCAATGCGTGCTAATAGTTGCTTCCAGCTCACTCCAAAAGAGTACAAATTTGGGGCCATGATAGCTGTACGACGAGTATCGGTGTACGTTCAGCACCATTCCTAAACGGTTTCCAGCCAGCGATGGGTAGTTTTGTTGGGCTATATCTGTTTTTGGTTTTTTAAAGGTATGTTAAAAATATTTTTTTATAACAGTGAAAACGAAGATAGTCAACAAAATCTAATTTCTTCTTAAACTTCTTTTGCTAGAACAGCGTTTCCAAGTATTCGCCACATATTGCTATGCGTGGTGCACAGCTGCATTTTGCACTTACTTGTGCATTGATCTCGGCATCACCAATTGTAACTAATGGAGTTTTGCCTCCAGATTTCGAGATGTTGAAGAAGCACTAAGTGCGCTGGAGAAGAAAGATCTGTCAAAGACATCAGTGAAGACCTCTAGCATAGCTAATTGGGGAATCCGACTGGTGTTCATATTCCGTGAATGAATAGCCTAGGTGTTTATCCCGTAAATACACAAATTCATGAAGGTTCGACACAAACATCAGTGATACAGTAGACTGGTGGTCATGGACACCGATACCTGTGTTTGGTTAATAAACTACGCAAATGTTACCTGTATCGTCAACCTCACGGATAAATACGTCTGTTATTATGGACTCTTGCGAGAAACAAACCACGTATAATTATGAAATGTTATGTCTTGATTCCCAACCAAGTAACGAAATTTCGTTTGCAAAAAAAATGACTGTCTGCTCCAGCCAATAAAATCTGAAAACTTATGTTCGCTAGAGCAGCTTCTCAGCCGCAGGAGATGCGCCTACAATGAAAGTTCCAGGTCTCGAAACTTACGTGAATGAACATTTCTGAGCTTCTCCGGGCGAAGGACGAGAGTGTATTAGAAAAGAACGGAAATCTAATGATAAAACAATTACGATAATTCTGAGATTTCAGGACAGTCGCAATAGTCAA